GGTCGCGTGCGGTCTGTATACGGTTCCTATTTCAACCGCGCGCGAACGCTGAGCGTCCGTAACGGATTGTTCGCGAATCACCTGTGTCTAGATCACAGTTACAAAATCATGATGTGAAGATGGTGAAACTGAGAATGTAATTGTTAGGGGAGCCGTTCACCAATTTCTCACTCAAACTTTGACGTCAATTATTTCGGCTCTTAAAAAATATATCGAAATTTTACAACCTATAAAACTATTGGGGCAAATATTTTATCAGTTGACAGATGTTTTATAGGAATCGAGATAATAGATCTTATCGGGGCTAATTGTACTTACCTGCCTGTAAGTTCAAGTGTTCATTCATGACGAAATCTAAGTCACTGTTTCAGAATCATGATATCAATATAAGTCACCGTTAAAAATCATTATATGGAGCTTGTGAAACTGAAAATTCAATCGGTAGGGGAACTGTTTACCAATTCTTCAATTAAACTTCGTCATCAATTATCTCGACTACTACAAGATATATACAATTTTTGTCAACTGATGAAATGTTGATGATATTAAGACAAACATTTATCAGTTGACAGATTTTTGATATCTCTTATAGGAACCGAGATAATTGAACTTAAAGGGGGAGTTGTGTTTGCAGCTATCAGCTTCTTGGAATCAAGGTTACAATATCAAAATCATGATACCAAGATTGTGAAACTGAAGTTGATTAATTAGCAAGTAAACCGTTTTTCAACTACTGTAACTAACATTTTGATTTTAATTATCTCGGCTCTTATATAACAGGTGTGAAAAACTTGTCAATTGATAAAATGTATGTGATATTAAAACAAACATTTTATCAGTTTACAGTTTTGTATAACTTTCATGCGAGCCGAGATAATTGAGCTTGACGGGAAGAGTTGTATTTGCAAGTGAGAGATCAGGTTCTTTGGAATCAAGGTTACAGTTTCAAAATATTGATATCAAGATTGTGAAACCAAGAACGTAATTGGCTGACTGACCGTTTGAAAATTATTGTTTACACTTTAAAGGAGTCCAGACACCAAAAAAAAGTTTTCCTTATTTTTTGCATAGAGAACCCCCATGAGGGGTTGAACTCATGACAGGCAGATCAGGGGTACAGCGCCGCTACCTGCTGAGCTACGGGGGCGCGAAGGCGCCTGACGACCGATGGTCTACATAAGCGCGGCGCGATTTCGTCCTCCGAACTGCCCCCCGAAATTTTTGCTGTCTCGCCTCCTTTAAGCTCAATTATCTTGGTACCTACAGAAGTTTTTGTCAACTGATAAAATGTAAATGGTATCAGGACAAGCATTTCATCAGTAGACAAATTGTTGATATCCCTGATAGGCATCGAGATAATTGGCTTGGTCACGCTGCTGTCCCTCATCGTGCCTTCTTTAGCAATATTGAGCCAAAACTGATCTTAATCAAGCTCAAACCCTACCTTACCCCTTTCCAGAGGTCACACAACAACCAGCAAGCCATGTAACACCCAAGCTTGCAACTTCCCTCGTGCCAATGGTCCCAAACCACCATGCTGTGATGGTAGCCAACCAATTGTTGTCAATAACTGGTATCACTGTGGAAAAGTTGAAAATCTGACTCCCAATTCGTATTGTTGTCCCGATGGTGGAGTGTGGGGAGAGTGGAGTGTATGGATGAAAGGTTCAGGGAGGTTGGAGGTAAGTCTTAACGTAAAAATCAAAGCTGTTAGAGTTGGGAACTTGGCCTAGGTCACTTGGCCTAGGTCGCCCGCTGGGGACCGATTAGATCGTCGTTTTGAGAACACTCCCAGTGAGACGATGAAAACTCCAGGGTCATTAGGCCAGCGCAACGTTCTTATAATTTTTAGTACTCGCGGACCAGAAAATGCTTGTCTAATGGATTCAAATGTAAATGTGAAGGAGAGCCCAAGGAGACTATAAATGGTGAGTATGACAGCATTCAATAATTTTAAATGGACATGAACATTTCCAGGATGCCCATGTCCTCCATTATCCATCGACACTTCTCGTTGCGATGATTCAACAAAGATCTCCTACAACGCCTCACGCCAAGAAAATCAATACAATCCAGCCAGCTGCACGGCAACCCTCATCCTGGAAAGGTCCAACTTCCGAGGAACATTTTACAAACAAGACACTGTGGATAATACCCAGAACATGTTGACTTATATCGCTTACATTGAGAACGGCAAAAGTCAAGGGACTCGATTCAAAGCGTTCGATGGCATGGTGATTCCGACGAATGGGCTTTTGGATTCTATTGTGTTCCAATGTGACATTGTCACCAAAATGTGGAATGGGTTGAATCCATGGGTGCCGAAGAACATGACCAATGTCACAGCAGCGGCTCAAATGGTTTTTATATGATTTTGTGACTGTGGCTGAAGTGATAAATAAAGCATTGATTCAAGAATTTGAAAAATGATTTCCAAAAAAATTGCTCGCAAAATGAACCGGAAAGCCTATAATAGAAGGACCCCCTAACTTTAAAATTTGGGTCCATTTTTCTCGGTTCCTGTGAAAGATATAAAAAAATTGTCAACTGATAAATTGCTTATCTTAACATTGCAAATGTTTTATCAGTTGGCACATTTTTTATACTTCTTATAGGAGCCGAGATGATTGAGCTCAAAGTTGACAGTGTGCTCTTCTATTACATTTTGGGTAATTGACGGATTTTCTAAAGAGCCTAATCTCTTGGTTTTGAGCCAAAATTTGTTCAAACCAGGTCCTACCAACTTATAAGAAAAATATTGATAATGCCGATAATGAGGTACACAGCTTTGAATTTTTTTTTCCGTTTCATCTACATGGCTTAATTTTCCTCCACTGTGGGTTTCTTCACTTCTGGAAGAATAATTTTGATTTATCACGGAAAAGCAGAGATGATTAGGCTTAAAGTGCGAGTATAATTCCAATATCTTTATCATAATATCATCCAAATTTTATCAATTGACTAAATGTTGGCAAAGGCTGAGATAATTGAGCTCAAAATGCAAGTATTTAGTGGCTTATTCCAATATCCGTAGTTTGAACTTTTCTTGCAAAAAACCCATTTTTACTCTTTCAATACCAAAAAATCAACTTCTCCTTTTGTTGCACATCAATACTTCCCACGCCATTGTTAACCACCATTGCACATACCCAATAGCTAGTTTCCTTCGACCCCAGTTTCGAATTTTACAATATCAGTCAGAAATGTGGAGACTCCAATTTTTCTTATCAATTTTACCTCTTATCAACACAGCTATTTGTCCTGCCTGTCCAACTGGTGGAATATGGTCCGAGTGGACGGCAGTTGGGACGTGTGCAACCACTTGTGGGGCTTGCTCAACTCAGAATTACACTAGAACCTGCTTATCGGACGCGTTGAAGGATTGTAAGTGTAGGTGAGTGGGGCAATCAATTTTTAAGTTTCAAAAAACTACTGTTTAATGAGATGTATAAAGTTTTTGAAAGTTTTGTATGTTTTGATATGCCAACTTGTTGGACTTGGTGTTCTTGTGGCCAGATAAAACACTTTCTAATAAGGGTCTTTTTAGAATATTTTTTATCTCCAAAAAATATGTGGAATAAGAAACAGTAAATTAGATAATTTGAATTTCCAGCGGTCCCACTACCACTACCCAACTCTGTGGGACTCAAGCTTGCAACTACCCGAGAGTCAATGGTCCTAAACCTCCGTGTTGTACTGGCACCCCAACGGTTATCAATAATTGGTACCATTGTGTCAATTCGTCTACTTCACAAACTAGAGGTTCTACATTCTGCTGTCCTACTGGTGGAATTTGGGGAGATTGGTCGGCATGGGCGAAGAAGGATGAGAAAAGTGTGGAGGTGAGTAAACCGCAAATGTTTAGCTTAGCTTACTCAGGCGTCGCTGGTTACTTCTGGCCGGAGCTTGGTCAGATTCCGGCAAAGACATTGTGGGAAGCGGACCAAGATCCGACAAACTACCGGCCAGCTTCCGACCTCTTAACACGCAGCGCCTTTAACTTCCGGCCAAAATCCGATCATTGTCCGTCCCACTGCTGCCAATGGGCAGCTTTTGACTAAAATCTGACCAAGATCAGTCCAAAAGATCATGAGTAGTCAATCAATGTTTCAGTTACCTCTATTCCAGTTACCCACCAAACGAAACAGAACAAAAAATCTGAAAATTTCAGTTCACTCGTACCCGTTCATGTCTCACTGGTGGATTGAATTGTGTATGTGATGGGGAAATTGAAGAGACCAAATACGGTAAGATTAGGACATTTTTTAAAATCATGATTACTCAAAACAATTTTGTACCATTTCATAGAGTTATCAAAGAAAATCAATTGTGACTTTCAGTGATTCACAGCTAGATGAGGTAAAAATCCATGCATCAAAACTTGAGCCGACTTTTTTTGCTGGAACTTGTTTTAACCGAAAAAAAAATCGAATTTCATCTATTTTCCAATTTCTAATAAAAACTTCAGGAAACAGATTTTTTTTTCGCGATTGCTAACATTGGTAGCCTCCAAATCTTTGTCACTCTTTATCTCAGCTCCTAATAGAGATACAAAAAGTTGTCAACTAATAAAATGTTTGCCACAAAATTTTAAACAATTTATTAATGAACAACTTTTCAATATCTTTCATGTGAAGCAAGATAATTGAAGTCAAAGTGACAATGCGGATAGGGACCCCGCGGTGTCAAGCCGCCCTCGGGGCAACCGGTAACGACACTGTTGATCTTAAAATTTGTGTATTTTTAGCCTGTCCTTGCGGTCCACTCAAAACGATCACTCCCGAAAACAACCCATGTGCCTCGAAGACCACCAAAACACCCTACGCTATCAGAGACCCCGCCTACTTCCCATCCACCTGTGATGCCACTGTGATGTTGGCAAATTCAAACTTCCGCCAACCATTCTACACTTTCAATGAGGAAAAAAAGAAATACACATGCACGACTGGATTTGTGAACCAGAGCGGGCAGTGTCAAATCGGAGAGTTTCCCACTGGAGACACGGACACCAGTGGACAATTCTGGAGATTCACTTTTAATTGTAACCTGGAGACAGGCGCATGGGACAGAAAGTTTGATGAGTATGATATGAAAGGAATCACTCACATTGCACAGTTTTATGCTAAAACTGATTAAAAGTTGCCTTTAATTGTGGATGAATGAAATTTGCATTTTGGGCTTTTTCACTCAATTGGAGGGGACATAGATTCTGGAACTTTCTGGAACATCATCCCTTCGGTCACTTTGAATTCTTTGTAGTTTGGAGTGCCCAGAGCAATATGGAAATTTAAGCTTCGGGACATTTCGAAAGTAGATGTTTCGGAAGCAGAAATTTCGAAAGCGTGGGAATGCAGGCCGATGGGGAATTTCAGACTACAAAAACTATTTTAGTGTTTTCAAACATGCTTCTTCTGATAGAACACATCTTGAAAGCCAAAAAAATCAAAATTTTAAATTCAAAAATGATGTATTTTTTTAATTTTTTGAGTTTCAGAATAAGTTTAATCAAAAAAGCATATTTGAAAACCCCCAAAATCGCTTTTGTAATCTGAAATTCATCCATTCGCCTGTTTGACAACTCTTTCGAATTGTCGCGCTTTCGCAATGTCCCAGAACCGAAATTTAGAGGTTCCCAAGTTTTTGAGTATTAGAATCTCCGATATTTCAAGTTTCGGAAATTTTAGAATTCGCTGATTTTTCAAATTTCATATTTATTATTTTCTGAATTCCCACCTTTCGAACTTCTAGATTTCCGGATTTCTGAATTTATTCCTAGAATTCAAGAAATCATTAAATAGGAGAATTTCGAATTAGGAATATGAGAAATTTGAAATTTCAGAAACTCAAAATTTTAGAAATTCAGAACTCCAGAAGTTGAAAAATTGAGAAAATGTGAACTCCGAGATTCAGAAATCCAAAGTTTCAAAAATTCGAAATTGTGAAGAGCCTGGAACGTTTGAAAACTTTAGAGAAAATTCTATAAAATCTTTTAGGAAATTTCAAATTCTAATCTGCGAATTTTAAAAAAATCAGCAATTAGGAGACTCGGAAATTTGAGAAATTAGAAGTTCAGGAAAAAAGAGATTTGGATTTGGAACTTTTCGCGTCTAGAATTTCCGAACTTCCGGGTTTTCGGGTTTCTTGATTTCTGATTTTTTTTAATATTCACAGAATCACATACTCGGAAGTTTCTGAATTGAGAATCTTAGATATACGGAAGTTCGAATATTCGAAAATTCAGAAACTAAAAAACTTCTAAATCATCGAAATCCCAAACATCGGTAAATCGAAATCCCAGCAGACTCTTACCCATTTCTACGCTCCGTTCAAAAACCAAAAAACGGATTTCTGCCGGGCGGACTCGAACCCGCAAAAGCGAAGAGCGCTAACCACTACACCATCCGGTCACCACAGGGAGGGTGGTAGAAATGGCGTAAACGTGTGTGTTGAATTTCCTCCCTTTTTCTCTCGCACCCTCTTCTCTCGTCCTCCCTGCCCTCCACCATTTAGTGTGGTGAAACCAAGGAACGTCTTCAGAAGACTTCGAAATCAAAATTTCGAAAAATGAAAAGATCGGGCCTGCAATTAGACACACTTCTGATCTATCTGTCCAGGTTTCAGCTCAATCGGTTAACTTTGAGTGGGTAAAACGGAACGCGACATACATACGCACATACGGAATCTGGTGAATGTTATTAGTAATGATTGTAACACCTTTAAATACTGTTTCCTTCCTAGCATTGCTAATGTCAAGTTTCTATCCAACGTCTTCAGATGAGAAGATACAGACGCTGCTGTTTTGGCATTTGGTGTATTCATACAGTCACCAACTCCGAATACGCTTGGGAACTTTTTGGACTGGAAAACTGAATTTTCGGGTTACCTACCCGGTTGCAACAGGTTTATGACCTCATAGCTTAGCAGAAAAATGCCCTTAACCTTTACTAGTCAACCTCAAAATACGCTAAACATGAAATTAGCTACATGTAAGGGAAACTTCTAGGATTTTTCAAAAACTAAACAAATTTTCTGTTTCAAAAACGCCATATCTTTTCTTGACAGTAATTTTGTGGCAATATCGAAACACTACATGCTGTCTGAATAATTTCAAAAATCAGCAGTTTTGAGAATAAGATTATTCCATTAAAAATGGTGAAACTTTGACATTCTTCAGAAAAACACATTTTCAGGACTCCGATGTTAGCTATGGTCAACTAAAAGAGTTAAAATTAATTTTGCTTTTTCAAAACTCTGTGAAAATTAGGAATATGTGTTTTCTGATTATTGAAACTTCCTATTCAATGCAGAACTCATCTCTATCCCTCATCTTAAAATTCATCGCTTCTCTGTAATTTTTTTCCACCTGAAATGGTGAATAGTTGGAGCACACTCCCGAAGTTTCCAGGACATTCAGTGCTCCTTTAATCCTGAAATTATTCAGTTTCAGCTAATGTTGTAAACTAAACTATACCAATTCATCAAAATTAAAAAAAATATAGCTTACACTTTGATACATTGAATTATAATATATTCACTGTTTCAAAAAGCTAAAATATTTTAGACTTTTTTCTTTCTCTATTACATCGGTTGTTATAGATTCTCAACCACCTCATTGAATCTCAAATGTGATCCGATTGCCACCACCATATAATCATAGCTTGTATCCTCTCCTATATCCAAGGGGGCTCTATTCCGTCTATGTTAGTGTCGTCCACTTGTGGATCAAGCACTAATTGAAATGAAATAAATTTTAAATGTATAAATTGTTTATCTACGCGGTTGAAGTTTCAGCTACACAGTCGCAATAATCAATTACGCTCACGAAAGTGTGAGCAATGCAGTCGAAAGCATCCGCTAGACAGTTACAAGCTTTCAGAAAACATTTAGTCCAGTATTCATGTTTCAAAACCATGATTAATTTTAGTAATTTTTTAAATTCCACATTCATGAAACCATCTAGTTTCAGATTCTGAAAAAAATTAAGTTTTTATTCTTGTTTCACGGAAACAAATATCATTATTCCAAATTCATAGGATCCCTTTACGATTTTTCGAATCCACCAATCTTGAAAACTTCCGAATCGTCGCTGGTCCATTCCAGTATCCTCTAATCAACCCATTCCAATATAGTGCTGGCATCAAATATTTTTTCATTAAAAACGCCCAATACGCTGGTTTCTTCTGATTCAATGGTGTGGTTTCCAATGTTCCATTTGAATTGAATTCAGCCAAAATCACACGATTTTTACTGACAACCAATGGACAGGAAGCGTAGCCATCGTACTGGAAAATGGTTACTTTTGGAATCTACAAAAATAGAATGACCTTGAAATACGGTTTCCTTCCTAGCATTGCTAATGTCAAGTTTCTATCCAACGTCTTCAGATGAGAAGATACAGACGCCGCTGTTTTGGCATTTGGTGTATTCATACAGTCACCAACTCCGAATACATTTGGGAATCTGTTGGACTGGAAAATGAAAGTTAATCAATAAAATAATGAAAAATTGTCAAGTTCTTATAAAATTGAAACTCAAAATGCACTAATTTTAAAGTTAGCTACATGAAACGGAAATTTCTGGATATTTCCGTTTCAAAAACACCATATTTTGTCTTGAGAGTAACTTTGCGGCAGTTTAAAACAAAATAAATATAGTCAGAATAATTTCTAAAAATCGTATTTTCAGAATTTCCTACTGTACCTGCAACGTTCCATCATCCACATCCATAAATCCAGACTTATCAGCAAACGGTGATTTTCGAAGAGCTTTTGGAGCTGAGCAAGGTGGTCCAATATGAAGAAGGGAGTACTGGAAAATTAAATATTGGAGATTCTAATGACAACTATAGCTATTGGCAGTCAACATTTTGACTGGATTTCTTTTTTACGGTTTCCCAACCCCCTTGTTTTGGGAAGTTTTAGAATTATGATACTATCAGGGCTGTCGAAGCAAGGAGTGTCTAATAGAAGAAGTTCCTAAACCTCTTGCATACATCCCAATGCTTTCAAATTTGACCCAAGTTATTCTATTTACTGTGAAAGGTATCAAAAATGGTCAACTGGCAAAGTATTGGGGATGTTATGGTAAACATTTTATATGTTTAACAAATTTTGATACTTTTTACAGGAACTCAGATAAATTCGGTCAGACTTGATCGAAAGAATCACCTCAATTTTCTCCGTCTCTTCTGTCGCTGCTCCATCTTCATCCAGTAACTGGAAAGTAGCAGAATTTTTAGAAGTATCGATTTCTATCAAATTTCTTCTCGTTCGCACATCTATATCTTTCTCCTGGGCCACTTTCTCCAATGGTTTTACGTAGTTTTCGACACCAAAAATCTGAAAAGTTCACTGTTTCGAAAAGTTGAGAATTAGCTTGATGTCTCGAATCAGTATTATGTATCCAATTGTCTATATTCAAATTTATCATAACTACTAACGAATTGTAATTCATAGAAACAGAAAAAAGTATTACTCAATCACAAACCTTGTCCAAACTGGTCGCATAAATCATATGAGCATTCTCTCTAACTTCTCGTTGTCTCAGAATTGAATCAGTGATATAACAAGCTTTTTGTGGGGCTCCTGCACATTTTATCGGGCCGTTTGGGTAGGTGTAAATCGCATTTCCACCCTGGAAAATTTTTGAGAAATTACTGTTTCAAGTTTATGATGACAAATTTAAACTTCATTTGCTCCTATTGAATTTATGATATATTTCCGAAAATTTTACCTACTTTTAGTTATTATAAAAACTGTAAACTTTGCAGTCCCGAACAATGAAAATTTTCAGTTTCAAACTTGGCATATTATTGAAACTGAACTTCTTTACTGTTTTCAGTATTGATTGGGCAAAATTGTATCAGCTTTTCTTTCTTTTTTAGTCAAAAATAGTCAAGTTCACAGTTCTAAAAAAACTATTCGAGAATTTTTCGATTAATCTGAAAATTTCAGAGCATACTCATCAACAATAGAGCTTCAACTTTGTAATTGACAACTTTTTTGGACAACTTTATCTAAATGAGATATACCGCTTTGCAACAATCTGAACTCAATTTTTGCACTTGGTTAGTTTCAACCGATTTATTTGGATGAATTTGTACAATTTGGATGAATTTGTACAAACAAGTGGTTAAACACAAAATTGAAGCTCTAGTTTTGTTTAGTACATTCTGAAATTTTTGGACAAATCGAGAACTTTTGGACATTTTTAGGACTTCAAAGTCGGTCATTTCTACATTTCTCTGCTGCAAAAGTATGTGAAATTAAAGAATATATTTTTCATTATTAGTGTTTCTACTATGTAGCTTTCATATCTATTGCTCACCTGAAAATTCATCACTTCTCTGTAGTGTTTCTCCACGTGGAATGGTGAATAGTTGGAGCACACTCCTGGAGTTTCCAGCGCTTCTAGTGCTCCTTTTATCTTAAATTTGAAAAAAAATTCTGATGTGTCATCTATGACAATTTATTGAAACATTCAATTGCTTAAATTTAATTTTGATGCAATGTAAGATTATAATTTCACCGTTTCAAATAGTTCCAATCTTCTAGATGTTTTTCTTCATTTATTACGCTTGATCATCGATTTTCAATTACCTTATCAAACCTCAAATGCGCTCCCATTGCCACCACCATATAATCATAGCTGATATCCTCTCCTCCATCCAATGTGACCATATTCTGTGTAGGTGTAAATAATACAACTTCATTTCGAATCCACTTGGCACCACTGGGAATCAGTTTCTCCTGTTTTCTAGTCGTCTCCTTCAGACTCATCAATCCACCACCGACCAGAGTGAAACCAGGTTGGTAATAGTGATCCTCATGTGGTTCGATAATTCCGACACTGCCACGTGGCAGTTTTCGAGCGAACTTGCTCGCGGCACCAAGACCACCGGCACCACCTCCAACGACCAGGAGCTTGAAGTGTTTGGCTGGAAATTGCTGTTTCACAAGCTGATTTGTTACTTTTTTCATCTAGAAAAACTTAATCCTTTGAAAACAAAAGCACTACAGAGCTGAATAGCCAAAAACGGACTAAAAACGAACCAGAAACGAACCAGAAACGGACCTAAAGCCTACCAGAACGGACCAAGGACGGACGGACCAAAAAGGTCCACAAACAGACCAAAAACAGATCAAAACCGAACCAAAACCGAATTGTCAGCCATTTGGGCTTGTATATGGCCCGTTTTCAGTTTGTTTTTGGTCTGTTTTTGGTTCGTTTTTCGACCATTTTTGATCGGTTTTTAGTCCGTTTTTGGTTTCTCAAAGTTTTTCTATTTTTTGAAATAAAACCTAAATTTTGCTATATTCATATCTCAAACCATAAAAAACTCACCATTTAACACTGCACTTCTTCTCATACTTTTATTAATTCTTCAAATTTTCGTTTTTACAGATATCTAGACAGAAATACTGAATTTTTGAAACCCAAATGAATTAGAATGAACATCACTATTTTAGAAATTTCTCTTATTTTCGACACAACAAACAAAAATATATAAGAGGACAGTGACCAGAAAACAGGTAAACACTTTTTCGGACGCTTTTATAGGCGAGAGACGCAGAGAATTAGGTCTTCAGACATTACAATGACAACATGACACTTGGTGTTGTGTTCCAGAAACAACGATTGGACTACCAAAAAATGACGAAAAAATATAACATTTCCAGAATATTCTACCAAAAAAAATGAAAGAATTTCAAAAAATAATGAGCTTTTGAAACATGCCACGGTTTCAAAACTTTTTTTCAAAAACTGAAAAATAGAAAATTTCCAGAAAATTCACACCCGTTCATAAAAATCGAAGAACCAGAAAAGTAGCGGCAATTTAAAAAAATTGAGATTTTGAAACATGGAAAATTTTTTGAGTTTCATGTTCTCACTAAAAATTAGAAAATTTCCGAAAACTGATTTCAAACAGTTTTTTTTTTCAAAAGCGGTCCAAAAGCAGTCTAAAAACAGACCAAAACCGGACCAAAAACGGATCGGAACAGCTGAAAAAACGGCTGAGAAACAGACCAAAACCGTACCAAAAGCGGACTAAAAACGGACTAAAAATGGACTAAAAACGGAACAAAAAATGTCCAAAAACGGACCAAAAACGGATCAAAAAACGGACCAAAAACAGCTCAGAAACGGACCAAAAACGGGTCGAAAACGGACCAAAAATGGCTGGAAAACAGAAAAGAACAGGGAAAAATATGAGTTTTCTAAAAATTTCCAGTTTCAAAATGTTAAGATTTTTGTAAAAATTAAACTTGGTTAATGGTATTACTCTTTTTTTACATATATCGTAATTTTAAATAAATTTTTTATCGATTTCTCAAACTTTCAATCTTGCTTCTAATTTTTTCTATTTTTGATCTACCCCATTTGATCTCTCAAAAATTCAGCGAAACTTATGTTTTTTTGTTTTTGAAACTATTTTTTGTCATTTTTTGGTTTTTTCCAGTGATTTTTTCAGTTGTCATTTTTTTTTTCTCAAATTTTCCTAGATTTCCAGTTAAAAAATGAGTGAAAATCCATCAAAAGAAGCCGTCGATTCGTTTTTGGAAGCGAATTCCTCAAAATGAAGTCCATTCCCGACACCTTCAAGACTCTGGGATCATCGATTGCGCAGTTCAAATGGGATAAAAGTTCGGGAAAAGGTATAGAGATTCAAATCGGTTCAGAATTAATTTTAGAATTTTCAGATGTACAATTTTCAGACGTGACAAAGACAATCAGCGAGGAACAAATCGATTTTTCAACTAAACAAGTTATGATTCGTTTTGAGAGTTCGCTGATGCAACACTCCGCGTCGCGTGGTCCAGGGATGTCGGATGATGAGCCATGGAAGACGTCAGAGACTCAGAAATCAGATTCAGAACCAACAACACAAAAAGAATCGGATTCAGATGACGTTGACGTTGACAAAAATCAACTTGTAGAAAGTTTCAATTTGGAATATGTCAGAAAAGTGTTCAATGAGATTGGAAACGAGTATATTAAGAAGATGAGAGACGCAGACAAGAGTGGAGAGGGAAGAGTCATGAAAGGATCGGATATCAAGTTGCTGTGAGTTGGGAGTGGACTTTGAGACTGAGTGGCTCAGCTGGCAGATGCTCCAGCTACACTGTGGCAAGTGTACGCTACACCGTGCCAATCTTTAGCTACACAATCGCAAACACCTGTATCTATAAAAATAGGAAAAATTGAATCAAAAAGTCCTGTTTCAAGACTATGGTGAATTTGAATACTTGTGATTCGCTGGAATTCCATTTGTCGGTTGCCATTGTCAGCTACACAGTTACAACCCTCACCTAAACAGGGATAAGCGTCAGCTACGTAGTCTAAAACTTCAGCTACGCGGTTGAAATTGTCAGCTACGTGGTTGTAAACGTCAGCTCGTCATCTATTTTTTTTTTTGCATACTTCAGCTAGACGGCTATAAGCTTCAACTATGTTGTAGCCATCACCAGATTAACTATAACAAACCTAAAAAGCTCCAGCTAAACAGTCACAGACGTCAGCTACGCGGTCGCCAACTTGTACACCACAACACAAAAATTCCTACAGTCGACATAAAACATGAAGAAAATCACTGAATAAAAATTTATGTTTCAAAATCATGATAAATTTTAATACTTGTAGCTTTTGGAATTTTAAATTGGGATCTGCTAACTCTAATACTTCTAGATTATACATGCGAAACATCACTGACGAGCTTCGAGAAGGATGTTCCACTTTCCAACTGCCCTTGAAAAGCATCGTTATCAGATTTGACAAAGATCGGGTCAACCTAACTGGAGTCACTCTATCTGGAAATTACATCGACTACGTTTATGGCTACGATATTCAACAAGTCCTAGTAAAATTCAAAGCGAGTATGACGTGGTTCCAAAGCAACGAGACGATGCTCGAGTCGGATTTGTTGTTCCTTCTATCTAATGCGAATTTGGAGCTTCTGAAAATTGAAACCACTCGAAACGGACCGAATAGTATGATGCTCTCCACCTTTGGAAGTGTATTTGCTCAGTTGAAATCGACAATTTCGTTTATCACAACTGGAAAACTGCATTTAGCTTTCTCTGATCTACAAGAACCCCTCTATAGTGATCAGGTGGCATTGGAACGGATTCTGGAGTGTATGAAGCCTGAGGCTTTGCATCAAATTGAGCTGACATCTGGTGTGAAAGAAGAAGAGATCAGTTTGAAAAATGTGGCGAATATGGACCAATGGAAATTTGCGAAGGATCTGATTGTGAAGAATACGAAGATGGAATTCTTGTGGTCCGCGATGACGTGTTTTGAATCTCTAGATCTGTATGCGTATGGAGATGAGGAAGTTGTCCCAATGATTCAGGTTGGTTGGGCTAAAAATCCAAAAACTGTTGGGGGCGGGGTCATAATATAGAAAGTGACCTAGTTTGTGGCATAGGTTGTGGGCCGAGGGCCGCTAGATTGCCTTATCCCAAAAGTACCGTAAGCCAAGAGCTGGGTCCTTAAGGGGGAACCTCGATTTTTCGTCTCAAAGCGGATTAAAAATGGACCAAAAACGGACCAAAAGTGGGCCAAAATGCTCTCCTCACCTTCAACCTTTAAAAAACACGAAACTTTATTCAGGCGCTCATTAAAAACCCACCAAAAGAGAGCCTATTCATTGTCACTGGGCAGCTACTGAATCTCGCCAGAATTCAAACCCGCATTTTGAAAGCATTCAAAGGAATTAAAGTGACCGCTGACCAGAGGAAGTTCGTGTTTCAAACGAAACTCAATTCCAACATTATTGTCTCGATTGGCCGCTGCGATGTTACCGTAACGAGTACTCAGTGATTAACTTTCATGTATCCTCATTTTTGACTTATTTTTGGCTTATTTCATATTTTTTGCCATTTCACCCAATTCATATAGCTTAACCATATTCTGATATCACATTCTCTTTTCTGCGGTCTTATTTGCACAAATGTGATTCCAATTTCATAGTCGAAATGTACGAATAAACTATTCCAGATGTTAGCTTTTTGAATCTGATAGTCCGTTTTTGAGCCGCTTTTTGACAAGAACGGGCGACATATGAACCTAATATGGGCCAAAAAAGGTTCAAAAACGGACCAAAACCGGACGACAGACTGTTCAAAAACGGACCATGAATGTGCCGAAAATTAGTAAATAATGGTTCGACGCCGTCATCTGGACCGTTTTTGACCCTCTTTTAACCCGTTTTTGGTCTGGCTTTGGAATGTTTTTTCTCCGTTTTTGGTCCGTTTTTGATCCGTTTCTGGACTATTTTCGGCTGATTTTTTTGACTGATTTTTGAAACCGCGCAGCAGAGAATGCATTTTTAACCGCGCAGCAGAGAATACATATTTTTGATTTTCGATTCGTAAACCAATTTTGATGATAATGTACCAAAATTTTTTAGAAGATTTTTAAACTTAAAACAAAATTCAAAGCGAAATTGAATGCGAATTTTCTAGAAAGTTTCGGTTTTTGATAACCTTTTCAAATTAAATTTCGAAACCCGCTTTTGACCCAATTTAGGCCTATTATTGATCAATTTCCGATTCATCAAAAACTAAAATGTATCAATCTTTATAGTACAAAAACATCACAAAAATCTGAATCACTTCGATTTCACTAATCTCGAACAATTCCGAATCGTCGCAGGTCCATTCCAATAACCCTTAATCAACCCATTCCAATATAGTGCTGGCATAAAGTATCGTTTCATTAGGTACGCCCAATATGTTGGTTTCGATTGATCGAATGGCGTCGTTTCCATGGCTCCTTTTGAGTTGAACTCCGCCAAAACCACTCGGTTTGTACTGACAACCAATGGACACGAAGCGTAGCCATCGTACTTGAAATATTAATTGCTAGGGGCAATCTTATGGTAGAGACTCACCTCCATACACGGCTGTTCCCCCTGCATAACCTGCGTCAAATTCTGTTCGATGGTCTTTAGATGAGAAGATACTGCTGCTGCTGTTTTGGCATTTGGTGTATTCATACAGTCACCAACTCCGAATACGTTTTGGAATTTTTTGGACTGCAAACCAGAATTTTCGTATATGTACTAAAATAATTTCAAAAACTGGCAAAATCTGATGAAATTGAAACAGAGCAATTTTAAACTATCAATGAACTTTGTAATAGAGATAGTGTCTTCTTTGGCGCAATTTAACTCGATTTATGAGCAATATATCAAAATGTGGTAAACTGATAAAATGTTGGTGATAAAATGATAAACATTTTATTAGTTGACAACTTTTTAGATATCTTGCATAGGAATCGAAATAAATTAGGTCGAAGTTTAAAAGTCCTCTGTTTATGGTGGCGAGATGAAATATCAAAAATGCAATTGTTTTCAAAAGCTCTTTTCCTGTTTCAATTACCCAGTATTCGTAGAGTAAGTTTTGAAAAACGATTTTTTTTCGATGATGAATGATAAAAAAACATACCTGCAACGAAGCAACATCCACATCCATGAATCCAGTTTTATCAGCGAATGGCGATTTTCGAAGAGCTTCTGGAGCTGAGCAAGGTGGTCCAATATGGAGCAGGGAGTACTGAAAGATAAGGATCAGTGCTAAGATTAAATTATTACAGAACCTAGAATACAGTTTAAAAATGAAGATATAATACTCATAAAATTGAGCATGCAATCGGCAGTGAACTACCGTAAACAAACCCAACTATTCCCATAAACTTGCACAGCATTTATTTTGTTCCTGTAAAAGATATCAAAAACCTGTCAACTGATAAAGTGCTGGTCATGATATCACCGAAATTCTCATAGTTGGCAGATTTTTGATATCTTTTATAAAAACCGAAATAATTGAGCGTAATTAGGATAAATTCATCTGTGCTGAATAAACTAAAAAAATTCAAAAATTTCTATTAACACTATTTCTGAATTTTATGAAAATGTATAATTGTCCGAGCAAACACACGATTACTAGCTAAACATACCTTCATCCTAAAAGATCAGTGACCTGAAGCGGCAAAATAATTGAATGGAATTTTATACTGTTTCAGACAATTGTTATAACAATTGAAGTAAGTTTTTTTTGCTTAATTCACGCTCAGCTGATCAAATTCGCTCAAAAATATATGTTTTTTTAAGTAGTGTTTTTCAATAGTTAATTTCCCAATACATAATTCAATTTTTTTCTGAAAAGTCTATGTAAACTTTCGAACTAGTAGAACTTTGCATTTCTGGAGATTTCGATGTCTCAAAAACAAATGAAAAACTTTTTCTTTGAAATTTCATAATTCTGCGGTTCCATCAATTCCATATAACTCTCTCATTTTACAGATTCAGGGTACTTGAACTTTTCTAAATTAAAAATTTCCCACCTCAACCCTTTCCGTCTTTCCTGTCGGCTTCGCATCGTCATCCAAAAACTCAAAAGTGGCCATTTTGTTTTCCGAATCCACTTCAATCAGATTTCTCCTCGTCCGAACGTCTATATTCTTTTCTTTGGCAACTTTTTCCAGCGATTTCAAGTAACTTTCGATTCCGAAGAGCTATAAAAGCGAATTCATTATGGAATAATTGTTAACTTGGTTACTGTGATAGATATAGAATATTTGTCAACTGATAAACTGCTGGTGATAATATGATAAATAATATATTAGTAGACAAATATTCGACATCTTTAATAGGAGCAGAGATAAATCGGATCAAAGATAAAGATCATGGATCACTCACCCTTTTCAAACTGGTCGCATAAATCATATGAGCCTTATCCCGGACTCCTCGTTGTCTGAGGATTGAATCAGTGATATAACAAGCTTTTTGCGGGGCTCCTGCACATTTTATTGGTGTATTTGGGAAGGTGAACACTGCATTTCCACCCTGGAACGAGAAAAATTTTTAAAGAACGTTTTGCTGCTTCAAAAATGTGCGAATTTGAAAAAAAAATAGGTTTCGTTGGTACTGAGAAGTGGGATTTTTCTTTTGTTTGATATTGCTCACCTTAAAATTCATCGCTTCTCTGTAGTGTTTCTCCACATAGAATGGTGAGTAGTTGGAGCACACCCCTGGAGTTTTCAGAGCTTCTTTGGCTCCTTTTATCTGGAAATCAAATTGAAAATTGTTTTGAAAAAGCTGATAATGCAATAGTTTTGAAAATTTTCAAGAAAAATGGACTAATTGAATCTGAAAAATTTCGAATAGAAAAGAAAAGGCTTTTGGTCCGTTTTTGGCATGATGGCTTTTTTTCAAAAATTATGAAGGAAATTCAACTGATATCGAGATCATAGAATTTCGCTACTGTTTCAGCAATACCAGATTTTTGAAACACGAAAATTTCTAAAAGTCTCTGATCGTCTTCCTTCTCATTATTACTAACCACTAACCATATCAAATCTTAACTGGATTCCCATAGCAATGACCATATAATCATAGCTGATTTCCTCTCCATCTCTCAACTTCACCAAATTCTTCACCGGTTCAAATGCCTCCACTTTATCGCGAATCCACGTGGCATTCTTTGGGATCAGATCTTCCTGACGTCTTCTATTTGCATCTAGAGTCATTAGGCCACCACCGACCAGGGTGAAACCGGGTTGGTAATAGTGATCCTCTCGTGGTTCAATAATTCCGACACTGCCACGTGGCAGCTTTCGAGCGAACTTGCTCGCCGCACCAAGACCACCCGCACCGCCGCCAACGACGAGGAGTTTGAAGTGTTTGGCTGGAACATTTTGCCGTTTCACTATCTGGGTTTCAATTTTCGAAACCCAAGTGGTGTACTCTTTTTTTTTCTAGTAAAATCTTATATTTGCATACTTCATTCATTTTTCTACCAACTAAATCGATTTTATTGAATGAAAAAAAATCGAAAAAGTTCTAAAAAACTGTAAAAAACTGAAAGTTCTTAAAAACGGGCCGAAAACGGACCAAAAACGGATCAACAACATTCCTAACTTGAGCCGGTAAAGGTATTCTCAATTTTTTTTTGGATCTTCAACGTTTCGAAATATTTCAGTTTTAAGGAGTTCGTTTAAGAAGATTTGTAAATCTGCCTTACTCACCCTTAAAATCAGTTGATCTATTCTGGTGTTTTTGAAAATGAAAAAACAATACATTTTTCTAGGTTTGACAAGAACGGGACAAAATGAGCCGGTAAAGTGATTTGGATAATTTTTAATCGTATTTTCAACACTTCGGAATTTTTCAGTTTCAATTTGTTTGTTTAACAGGATTTTAAAAATTAGTAAAAAATCAGTAGACATTATCTAAACTGTTGTTGTGCCAATAATTCAGTGTTGCTCAAACAGTTGCCGCGCTTTTGGCCCGTTTTTAGTCCGTTTTTGGTTCGTTTCGAACTCATGCTCGCAATTTTTTATTTTCATCCATTCATCTAAAATGGATATTGAAAAAAAATTTGCAAGTATTAGAAAAATACATAAACATTAAGTTCTTAAACGGACCAAAAACGGACTAAAAACAGATCGAAAACAAACGAAAAATTAGCAAAAAATGGTCCGGTCCATTTTTTGGTCCGTTTTTGGATCATTTTTGATGCGCTTTCGGCCCGTTTTTGACCTGTATTACTTCTATTTTTATCAATTCACAGATTTTCAAATCAAGTAGTTTTTAACTGCTTATTAACTTTTATAACATCATTCCAGTTTGCCGAAACATTAGAGAAAACTGCAAGTATGAATTTAACATATATTATAGAGCAATTTGTACCTATTTTTGCTGTTTCATGAGCTGATTTTTGATTTCTGTACCAAACAAAAATTTTTTATCAGTAGAATATTTTCAATTCATACTTGCGAACTTCGACAAACTGAAATGGATTTTATGAAAATCGGCAAGTGATTTTAAAAACTACTTAAAACTGTAACTTGGTAAGAACGGATGAAAAACGGGCCAAAAACAGAGCAAGATCGGACCAAAACGGAACAAAAAATGAGCCTAAGCCGGTGGAGGTATTTTTAGATATTTTTAAAAAATTTCGGAGTTTTTCAGTTTCAATGAGTTTTTTTTAAGAAGATTTGAAAATTAGTTAAACTATTGAAACAACTGGTGTTTTTGAAAATGTAAAAAATATACTTTTTCCCAGATGTAGACCCTTTTTTTACAATATGTTTGGGAAGTTATTAGTACGTTTGGACCGTTTACAGCCTGTCATTGGTCAGTTTTAGTACGTTTTAGGCTTTTTCTCAAAAAGTCTTACAGAATTTTTCAAATAAAAATATTGAAAAACTCACCATGAACCACTTTAGACGTCCGCATGATTGGTTTTGAATATAGAAGCAAATTTACTAAAAAACAGCGAAAAATCAAGTTCCTACATAGACCGGAGATAGTGGAGACGCAGACGGAACACAATGAAAAAACAGACAAGTAGATCGTTTTTATACACACACCGAAAGTGAAGGAGGAAAACTAAAGGTTGACTATAGTCACGTAGGTCAGCTATAGACGACCTTCTGGGAAGAAAAAAACAAAAGTGGAAAAGATCAAATTTTATCGTTTTTGCAAGGAAAATGCACTAGAGATAATATTGGGTGTAGGACAACAATGAACAAGGAACAATACGTGAGTTTAGGAGAAAATTCTGTGAGCTCGACTGACTACGACAAAGGTCAATGAAGTACATCGTGAAACAGAGAGAAATAGTCTAGATCATACAGTCTGAAAAACACCTTTATTGTAGATTTTCCCAATAAAGGTATGACTTTAGGCTTCCTTCTTTGATTTTGGAAGTTCACACATGAAAACCTTAAAAAAATGTCATCGGCGGGGTTCAAACCAGTAACCACCAAATTGGTAGATTTCGATAAAATATCCCACTTGGCCATCCGGACATTTTGTCTTCAAGAAATGGTAAAAACTTATGTTTAAGGGTTTCTAGGGGGCAGTGTGCCTTATCGACAAAAATTTTCCGATTTTGTCGACAAAACTAGCGATAAATTTATCGACAAATTTATCGACAAAAAACGATAAAATTTTGTCGATAATTTGTCGAAAAATTATCGATAAATTTGTCGACAAAAAATTTTTTGTCGACATTTTGTCGATAAATCGTCGACAACTGTTGTTTTTGTCGATGATTTGTTGACAATTTATCGATAAAATTTCCGATAAATTTGTCGATAAATTTATCGAAAAGGGCGTTTGTCGACAAATCATTTGTCGATAAGGCACACTGCTAGGGGGCTGTTCGAGCGTTTGAGCGCATTTTCAGTGTTTTGGAAACCCTAAAATGTCGAATTATTGTTTCGAAAACGGATACCTTCAGAAATCGACAAATAGCTGAAAAACTAGGATGTTTCGAAAAATTCTGTGAATGCGAAGTTTTCAATCAAAGTCTGTTGTACACACCCTGAAATTAGTTAAGTGACCGGAAACTAAACTTGGGAGGTTCCTGAAAATAACAAACAAGCGCCTAAAACTAAATCGGGAAATCTCGGGACCAAATATTAGGGCAAGCCATTTCAAATTGTTTATTGAAAAAAATCTAATTCTTCGAAAAAAAACATCATGAAACAGAGAGAAAACGTCTAGTATTTAAATTTGATTTCTTCTTCAAAGTTCTCAAACAGTTGGCTTATTTCCAAACGAGAACGTTCCCTCTCCTGCTCCCACAGTTTTTCCATTCACAATCACTTTTCTTCCCTTCCAATCGACATTTGATTTCGATCCATGAACACTTCCCGCCTTCATTTTCTCAGATCCAGCCATTTTTTGATCGTTTCTCTGATTCAGATCAACCAGATCTGAGTCATGTTTGTCTCCAGATTTTAGGGTGTGAAGAGTGGCTCCGACAGTTTGGGTCCCGATGACTTTGGAAGGGGAAGAATGGGAAGAGTGGGAAGAAGAAGACATGGAAGATGAGGAAGATCCTTTAGAAGAGAGTGGTTTACCGATTTGGTCAGCGGACATTGATTCAACTGAAAAAAAATGTTTTCAATAAAAAAAGTATGCATTTTTTCGTGGTGGTGTACTGTTACTCTTTTTTGTGCCTATCGTAATCCTTTCATGTTTTGCAACCGGTTCCAATGCGGAGCACTCACTGATTCTCAAAATGTTCAACTTATCTTGATTGTTAGTTACGCGGCCACTAAACCATTGATCTTGAAAGATTCAATAGTAATTCAAAATTTAGTAAAACCGAAATTTGGTTTTTTGAACACTAGCATGAAATAAGAGAGACGCAGCATACATCGAGACTGTCTTGTTGTCTGCGTTTTGGCTGTGTGAATCAGCCGTGGACCAACTCAAACGTTTTCATGCTCAGATAGCCCTAAACATTACTTACGCATTAGAAACGACTGTAATCAGAAAATTAAATTTCAAGCCTTGATTAAAATTCCATAAAACCTTTTCAGTTTCAGAATTTCCAGAGATAATGTTCCTATTTCTAATCAATGTTACGTTGGTCTTGAAAAGTAGTCATTACCTCCAACAACACTTCCAACACCTGCTCCCTTGAAACCTTCTCTCTTCAATCTCAATTGTAATGGATTGAACATTAAGATGTGTGTGACAACTGATGCATTCGTTCCTGTTATTTGTTTCTTTCCACCGTCCACTAGAGACCATCCTTTAGGAAGATTCACTCCGTCAACAGAAGTTTTTCCCTGGAAAAACTTGGATTTGAGAGTGTAGTTTTGAGCGGATATGTAGACGGATATGTAGAAAAAAACTCAGTATCACTAGTGAAAAACAAAATTCAATTAAGATTTTCAAAAAGGATGTGAAGCAGAGAAAATTTCCTGTTTCTTCGTTTTCCTACCTAACAAGGGAGGTCGTTTTAGAAAGGCTTTCAGAATTTTCTTATTTTTTGACAAGGGTTAGTTGACACGCTCAAAAAGCCCCTGTCAAAATCTGTATATGCACTTTTTCCAAAAATGCTGAAAATTTTTGTCTGAAAGTTTCCAATTTCTTAACTATTTAAACTTCACTTTTCTCCGTCATTTCGCCTCCCGGGAACTTCCGGAAACACCGTTGACATGTACACACTTACGCACTGTTGTTCCCAGCAGTGAGGTGGCCGGGTGGTTGTGGGCGTGTGCTGTAAGCTGAAGGTCTGGGGTTCGATTCCCTCTTTTGAAATTATCTTTTGCTATTTTTGATCAAACTCCTAGACATCTATTCAGGGCTCGAAACATGTTTTTGGCCAGAGTTTTTGAGTTTTTGCCGATTTTCAAACTTTGAGAAGCAGAGAATAAATTTTTTCACAGTTAATTTTTTTCGAAATTTCCAAGTTTTTGGTGGTCAACTCCATGCTAGATTTTCGATGAAATTTTTTTCGTTCGAAATTTCTCAATTTTTGTATGGAATGTATTTTTGTAAATTCTTATTAGTTTCTCATGATTCATCCACCCTTTTTTGACCTAGAACAATGCAAAATCACTTATAATTCATTGTTTTCTTTCGAATTTGGACTATTTGATTCACTGTTTTTCGACATAGGGTCGAAAAGCGGCTAGAAGATCATTGGAAATTAATAAGAACTCACAAAAATACATTCCATACGAAAATTGAGAAATTTCGAACGAAAAAATTTTCATCGAAAATCTAGCATTTTCTGCTTCTCAAAGTTTGAAAATCGGCAAAAAACTCAAAAACTCTGGCTAAAAACATGTTTTGAGCCCTGAATCTAGGAATTTGATCAAAAAAAGCAAAAGATAATTTCAAAAGAGGGAATCGAACCCCAGACCTTCAGCTTACAGCACGCGCCCACAACCACCCGGCCACCTCTCTGCTGGAAACAACAGTGCGTAAGTGTACATGTCAACGGTGTTTCCGGAAGTTCCCGGGAGGCGAAATGACAGAGAAAAGTGAGGTTTACAATAGTTAAGAAATTGGAAACTTTCAGACAAAAGTTTGCAGCATTTTTGGAAAAAGTGCATATACACATTTTGACAGGGGCTTTTTGAGCGTGTCAACTAACCCCTGTCAAAAAATAAGAAAATTCTGTAAGCCTTTCTAAAACGACCTCCCTTGTAAGGGTTAAACCGTTTGTTGTATTAGGACTGTAACGCCACTAGGACTAGAGTCGGAAAGTTCATAAAAGCTATTCATAAGAGAGTGCCTGCTCAGCTCATTACCTGCGCTTCAGTTTTTCCTCCATTTTTCTTCATTGCCTCCTCAAATCCCTTTGGTAGTGGAATCTTATCACATTCGGGTTGTCCCATAACTCCACAGGTCTGCAAAAAAATAATTTTCTGCTTCATGGAGGTTTCATGATCGGCTAGGATTATTAGTTTGCAATTGCAAGGTTGCTTAAGCCGTCATCAATACCGATAAAACTGCGATAGATCTGACAATTTCCAGCTGTAGAGCCGTCATTGGGAAAACAAACAAAAAATCTTGTGCAGAACTTGGGATGAATCCAGAAAGCCATCAAATGACCTAGTACGCTCAACTATCGTAGACCTAGCATACGAATGAGAATCATTCTAAAAGTTCTAGAATAAGCAGTTTGAATATTCTGAATTTTTGAAAATCGAGATATTGAAACAGAAGATTTATTGACTACCGCGCCTTACTGATTACTTTACTTTTTGAAAAAAAGAATTTCTGTGTTTTTGAACTGAAGAACGACTGGTTGGCAGCGGCATAGTCATTGCCAGCCGCTGCCGGCCGATTTTGACAGTAAGCTAGATAAAGCGAAACCATGTATATTTTAAGATTGTCTGCGATTCTCACCAATATACCCTCCTCAAACGCGCTCCACTGAACTCCACTCACCGTCTCCTTATAAAACACAGAAGATCCCATTCCCATACACTGATGTTTCACATTATCCACCACCACTGATTCTCCTAATTTCATCTCGGTTCCATCTTTTCGTCTGCATCCTTCGATGGTATAAACTCCATATTTCTGACACTTGTATCGAAGACTCCCGATTTCAAACTTCTCGTCTGGCTGGTACTTTTTGCCGTTTTTTGTGCATTCCTAAAAAAATCAAAGGTATAGTACCTATTTATTGTGTAAATATGATAATGGTGGAACAGCAAAAATTATCAACCTCACATCTCTGATCCCAAAAAAAAAACACAAAAAATTGGTGAACTGTTGGAAAGTTTATCAATTGGCCTTTTCGATATTTAAAACTACAATACCTTTGGCAACATATCCAGTGCTGACATCACTCCAGCCGAATTGTTTAATTGAAATTCGTGTAACTGGGAAGTCATGGTTTTTGTGGTGTCCAGAGAAAAGACAGATGAAGGAGCCCATAAGGCAATTAGGAGGAGGTAGAGGACCATTTCTGGAATGCATTGATTATTGGGGTTGAAGGATTTTTTTTAATTTGGTGATTTGAGAAGGAGTATAAGTTACTTCAAGCTTAAAGTCTTGTTAAGGGAGGGATTCAAGTTTTGCGGGTGTATTGCTTGACGTTGGACAGTAATCGGTGCTTACAATACGTAATCGGCGGTGTCTCCATTTTCCTCCGCTATAATTCTAATAGTAAGATTCAATAAACATCAAAGAATATACCTTTTTTCAAACCATATTGAAACTGAAAAAAAATCTAAATAAATATTTTTTTTCAGTTTCAAGAACGTTTTAACAATTTCGAATGTATGAGCAGAGATTGGACGCATCTGTTGTAGAACTACACTAGCTGTGGTTCGAAGTAGTACGGACCAAACGCGCATTACTATTTAACCAACCGTTTAATAGTTTAGGTTAATGGGATGCTGCATAGTTAGAAAAACTTAAACTTAGATCAACTTTCAAATCAAACAACTGAAGTTATTCAAAAGAAGAGCTACGCTGTCGCCTTTGCCAGCTTTATTAATTTATTAATGAAAAAAAATGCACAGTAAGACATTTGTGGAACCTCGAAACTACTAAGCAACACTATTTGAAAAACCTCAATTGTCAAACATTAACAGTAAAACAGGAAAAAAATATTCAGAAAATTTATCACCGTTTCAAATACTGTATATGCAAATTTGAAAATCGACTAGTTTTAGTCGTAACTAGATTAACGTTCTAAAACAATTTGAAATGCCTACTTCTTCTGGCTACCTATAACTTATATCTTGCCGCCTGGGGTGTGGTTCCTACTACCCCCGGGGGTCACTAAACGAAAACTAGTTTGCAATATATACATTTTTTGTTTTGACATGATACTGTTAAGGCCCCTTATTACATTGACCACACCTCACCTTACCACCTCACCTCCACACTATTAATCAAGTTTTCAACCTTGAGAAACTGTCAACATTGTAAATTTACCAACTTTTTTTGAGAAGATTCTCTTGTCACTGTGGGAGGTTAAAGTGTAATTTTGGAGGGAAATCAGTGTAAAAAACTATATTGATTCAAAATATCGATAAGTTTTTTGGAAGTCTTTCCAACAATATTACAACTGCAAAAATTCGGTCTATCCGGAAATCTTACGAACGGTTCAAATAAAATACGGTATCATTAAGTATGTTTCTTTAAAGTTTTAAGTTCGATACAATTATACTTCCAGGGATACGAGATTGTGGTAATCGAAGAATTTAACTCAATCATTGCTCCAAAATTCTATATTTCCGAAAACAGTTGTTTATCATTACTATTCGCAGTACCAGGACATGGCAAATAACATTTTTTGAAACTTGAATTTTATAAATTCTTATTAGAACCATAGTTCGTTTCCTATTTTGACATGATGGAACAAAAATAGAACTTGAAAATAAAATATTTCTAAAAAACTAGTTAATAACTTTGTCAAATATTATAAGGAATTGCTTTTCAGTGTTTCAAAGATAAGTTAAAAATTCAAAGTTCAAGATCCGTTATTCTTTAGTTACCGGGCTGATAAAAATTAACAGAAAAACCTGACAATGTGAGGACAGAATCGCAGTTTTTAACACTTTTTTCTCAAAAAATGTACTTATTCTGAAAATTTCAGTTCAACATTTGTTTTCTTGTATCAAAAACTAGGGAAATCGTTTACAAAGAAGTAAACAATATTAACTTATCACCATGACGTTGGTTTATTTTCCACTTTTTTCCTAAATCATTTTTACAAAAAATCTTATCCAAAAATTAGCATCTTTCACATAAAAATTCACATAGCATTGCATACTTTCACTTACAAAGAGGTGTATTACAAAACGTACTTAACATTAATTAAAAATAGGACCAGTATTTATGGAAACTTCGAAACTGTATCGTTTTTATAATACTTGTAATTCGGGCCTCTGCCGGGCCTTCGCGGGCCGTGCCATAATTTATTTCAGAATCAATATTTTTGAACCAACTAAACCAGATATTATAGAGCTCCACGAGTACTACAAAACAGTATTATTTGGAATACTGTATCTTATCTATGAACAAAGTTACAGATCATAAAGTGGCTTTTCTCGTAGTGCCCGGCAGGCCCGGGCCGGGCCTGCTTTTTTTGTTCCTTTTGCTCTGTAACTCTGTTCATAGACAAGATACAGTATTCCAATTAATACCGTTTTGTAGTACTCGCGGAGCTCTATCATATCTGATTTAGTTGGCTTTCTTTTCGCCCGCGTGGCGCAGTCGGTAGCGGCCCTGTACCCCTGATCAGCCTGTCATAAGTTCAATTCCTCGGGGGGCGCTTTTGACGGAATTTCGAGAACACAATTTTTTTCATGTCCCCCCACCTTCAACTTGCGTCCATAATGTTGATTTACTTTCACATTTTCCCTTCAAAGCAATGTTATAGAAAGTCTTGTTCAAAAATCAGAATATTTTACAGAGCAATTAAATTTCTTGAAAAGTTTCATGTTTCATCCATTCGGTAGATATTACATAGATTGTCATTCTATTACTTTTATCGCATTAATTGTTGGTTTTCAAGTTTTCAAACAAAAAACAGGATTGATTAGAAGTAATATATGGAAACTTTGTAACTGTTGCTAACGTTACATTTTTTGAACAAATACTGTAAAACTTGAAGGGGAAAAAGGAAAGTTTACGAGTGCTTTTTGCGTAACGTATGCATTCTGACGTCAAGTAATGACATCGGTCTACGGCCCAACTTCCGCTACCGTAGCTCAGCTGATAGCAACGTGATACCTCCAACAGTGGGCCCACAAGTTCAACTCCTCGAGAGGCGCATACGAAAAAAACTTCGAAAGAATGAATTTTTTGAATGTCAGAATTTGCAGTGTACTGAAATCAAACAAAGTTACAAGAAATGTAAGATTATCAAAACAGTGAAAAAAATGCAGTTTCATTTTTATCCCGAATATCGTAGCCGAATGATTTGATGTTATGACATCGAGCTTTTTATGCAAATTTATTCATTTGGCAGCTACGGCATTTTAAAATTAACTCTAATTGTTGCCATGAAAAAAAAACCGTATTTTCCGAAACATCCTAGTTGCATAACGCTTAGTTTCTTTTAATACAATTTCCAGACGTTTTCTCTTTTTTATGCATTAGTCGAGATTTTTTTCAATTATTTATTCGCACCGAATTCACTGCTAATTTTTTTTCATGTCAAATCCGTAACCAAAAAAGTTTCGTTGAAGAAAAAATACAGTTTCGATTTCATGTTAACATCACTAAATTTTGTATTTTCTGATCAGTCGTCAATGGATCCCAATTTTTGACTCATAGTCTCAACTTCAACCAATTAAGTTCAAATTTTTCGCCAGAACTCTGAATCCATGTTTTCGACAGCGTAGCTCAAAACCAGTGAGCTCAACTTGTCAATGAGCTTCTATTGGTTACCATTTTGTTCCTTTTAAAATTAAAAATAATAATTAAAAACCACAAATTCATTCAAATGAAAAGAGTAATATTTTATGTAAATTGAACACACCAACACATTTTTTGAAAATCATGCTCAAATTGAACTGCTCCATCATCTCCATATCGTCCGAGGTTAGCTGAAAAATACATCAGCTGATTGTTGTGTTATCAAAATTCCTAGGGAATCAAAATAATGAAACAGTTAGGATTTTTTGTTAAAAGAACGTTCCAAGTTGAGCTCATATATCAATTCCGATATCAAACTCCCGGTATCAAAGATATCAAATCTCTGTCAACGGATAAAATGTTAGTGATATTATGACAATCATTTTATCAGTTGACCGATGTTTGATACCTTGCATGGGACACGAGATAATTGAGCTCAATGTTTCCCGTTCATCATATTTTCAGAATCAAAATGGAATTATTGTTATTAGGCAAGTTATGTGATTGCTCAAAATTTGGTAACTGATCATGGTTCATAAAATAGCAATAAAATTACTGTTCCACTTTTATCACAAATGGACACAATTATTTGATCTACAATTTTTCGTTTATTTTGACAACTCACATTTTCCGTCGAATTTCCCTTCATCAGCTTCTCCGATGAGTCAACTTTCGCTCTCTTCTGAATGTATTCCTTCTTATCCGATTCCAATCCCTTGTCGAACTTTTTACTACACTTTTTTTTTTTTTTTACTAAACTCTTTTTACTAAACTTTTTACTATACTTTTTCAGCAGTTTCCATGTCTTTGACTTCTTCCGCTGTTGAGTTCTGGAATTTTTTTTGGTTCTTATCACTGTAAAAGATTGAGTCACAAAAAAGCGACTTGAATTTTTGAACGCGTTGAAACATAATTTTTTTTAATCTAGATGACTGTCAGAAGCTTACCAAATTTATACCAGCCAGGCCGTCCCTAAGCTCGGTGATCCAAAAATTGCAGTCGTAGATTAACTATATTGGAAGTACAGTAAGCATAAAAACGCGGAGTTCATGAATATTCTGTTTCGAAATTTCGATTTTTGAAAATTAGGAATATTCAATTTGCTGGTCTGACTTCGTGCTTTCAATTGATTGATTATGGTAATGACCAGTTTTGTGTGAAGATTTTTAAAATATCAATGTTTCGTAACTACAGGAAATCCAGAAACTTCTAACTTTCCCTAAATGTTCCGTTTCAAAATTTCGTTTTTTACCGATGTAGAATATTCACTTTGCTGGTTCGCCTTTTATTTGCGTTTTTAATAATTATGTGAAAATTTGATTCAGGTCATTACTATTGTAGTGTCAAGATTTTGAAACTAAAAATGTTTCGGATTCATCAGTCAAAACTGTAACAAGTTTTTGAAACAATAATCAGTTCATTCCAGTGTTAAAATTTTGAAAATCGAATTTTCCAAAAATATTATAAACCGCTTTAACAAATTTGTTACTGTATCATTGAGCAGATTTCAAGTTTTATTAACCACACACAGTAATAGTATCAGATTATTTTTCATTAGTGTTTCAGAGACAAGTTAAAATTTCAAAGTTCAAGATCCGTCGTTATTGTATAGGCAACAATGGGCTCACAAAAAACGGATGAAGAAAAAACTAACGTCTCCATGCTATGTTTAAATTTGAAATTTCAATTCAAAATTTTCTTCATGTTTCGAAAAATAGGGAAATCGTTTACAGAGATATCATCCTTATATATAAAACGCTAGACGCGTCTGTTGGTCCCGGTGTCAGTCTGTCCGGTTTTGGGTTTTTAAATGAAAGGTTGGCCGCCACCAAAACCGAACCAGCCGCCTGTCGCACAACGGCTGTGCACGCACACAGCTGCGCCATGAGGGCCACAGAGATAGAAGGGAGGGAAGGCGTAGATGTTCTACTGTGTGACAAAGAGAAGTCGAATAGAGGGGTGGATTGAGGAACCAGTAAAAAATTATGAATTGCGCCGAAGGAGCAGAAGCCAGCAGGCTGGTAAACAATATTACTTCACACGCATAGTTCTCATTTTATTTTCAGATGTGTCCTGAATCAATTTTATAGAAATTCTAGTTCAAAAATTAGCATCGTTCAGATCGAAATTGATTTTTTCAAAAGTTTAGTGTTCCATACTATCCGTATATTACATAGAATGTCGTACTTTCACTTGAGTTGAGATTTGACCGTCAAATAACTGAAACCATTCAAAGTTCACAAGAAAGTGAGATTCTCAAAACAGTGAGAAATACAGTTTGTTTCTAATCACAAATATCAAAACTGGACTAATTGAGCGTTCGACTTCGAATAATACATATCATGAACTTTTTTTTTGAAAAATAATTACAGTTTCAACTTCATGTTAACATCACTAACATTTATATTCGCTGATCATCAAAGTAATATTTAATTTAATTGATAAACCAACACATTTTTCAAAAAAAAAGCATGTTCAAATTCCTTGTGCTCCAAAAGTATCAATTCCAAGAACTGTCTCGTTGCTCTTGAGCATCTCATCATCAGCCTCCATTGTCTTGTTGAACTGCTCCATCATCTCCATATCATCCGAGGTTAGCTGAAAAGGAATCGATTACACATTATAAAAAATTGCTAATTAAGTAAGAAATCAAAGTAGTGAAACCGTAAGGAATCTACCGTGAATGTACTAATATAAAGTTCTATATTTGAGCTCAATTATCTCAATTCCTGGAAGAGATATCAAAAATGTTTTTACTGATAAAATGCTGGTGATATTATTATAAACATTTTATCAGTTGACAGATTTTGATAATTTGCGTTGGACCCGATATAGGGGAGCTCAAAACTTCAGTATAAGCTTCGAAACTTTATCTGTTTCGCACTCATCATTTTTTCACAGTCCAAGTCAAATCATTGTTATATACTTTCAGCATTCTGTAATCAAATTACTGTAGATTTCAAGTTCCCCATAACTCACACTTTCCGTCGAATTTCCCTTCATCAATTCCTCCGATGAGTCAACTTTCGCTCTCTTCTGAATGTATTCCTTCTTGTCCGATTCCAATCCCTTGTCGAACTTTTTCAAATCAGTCTCGGCAGCTGGCCCGTCAGCTTTTTCAGAAGACTTTGCTTTTTCAGCAGTTTCCGTATCTTTCACTTCTTCCGCTGTCGAGTTCTGAAATGCCTTTGTCTTCTCATGACGAAAAATGATCGAGTCTCAAAAAAAGCCACTTGAATTTTTGAACTGATTGAAACCGAAAAAAAAGGTTCAACTTTATTTATATTCTTGTCGTAATAAGCCGGGTTGTCAGTAGGCTCCGTGGTCCAAAAAATCCCAGTCTAAGTACCTTAAATGTACTGCAATCTTACTATTACTCTCCATAAATTTCCTGTTTCAAAATCTTGATTTCCAAAAATATTGTATAACCACCATCTTAACTTTTAATTTTTGGATAGTTAAAAGCTTTAACTATCCAAAAATTAAAATTTCGCTAAAAGAGACATAGTCATAGTTCCATTCCTAGTTATAGTTATAGTTATGACTGATTCGTGACCAAGCCCGTTTTAAAGGAAGCTGTCAACTTTGAATCAATTTATCTGGGTACCTGTCAGAGATATCAAAAAATGGTCAACCAACAAAAAACTTATTTAAAAAAACCACAAATCTTTTCTTCAGTTAACCAATTGTACATACCTTTTTCAAAATAAAGTGGGTCAAAGTTAGTGGCCCCTGTTTTAGCAGTTCTACTTCTACCTAATCATGTTCAAATCCCGCTATCATTAATTCTATCATTAATTTAATGTCATCTATAGTTGTAATCATATTTCATTTGTAGCAAAAAAAACACAATTAAAGAATCTGTTAACTTTGACGCAAAATATCTTGTTTCCTGTAACATGGTATCAAAATATGGACAGCTAACAAAAAGTTTATGATAAAATTTTTATTATTTTGTCAGTTGACCACTTTTCGATATCTTTTACAGGAACCGAGATAAATAAGGCGTAGTTGCCAAATAACGAGCCGGCCCGTCAAGAATTTACGTTCCACTCTTACGTTCCACTCTGTTAATTTTGTTCGAAAATGTAAATTTTTCTTCTTTAAAGGTGGGGAGACAAGACAAAAAATAATGTTCTCGAAATTCCGTCTGAATATGCCCCTCGAGGAGTTGAGCTAGCATGGGCGAGGATTGAGAGTGCGGCGCCGCTACCGACTGAGCCACGCGGACAAAAAGGCAGCCGGCGCCCGATTGCATACATAAAGGCGAGGACGCCGGCTGTACGCAGAGTGGCATTAAGCGTTGTACACCGTGACGGTAGAATGCATACTCTAGCTACAAAAAAACTACGAAAAATCTCCTGTCCCCCCACCTTTAACTAAAAAAAGACCCACCTTTTTTTTCATTGGAAATTTTCTCACTGTGAGAAGCGGGCCGGGCCGGCCCGTTGCAACTATGAAATAAGGTCAAAGTTTGGGGACCTTATGATACAGGTTTCACACTATTTCTGATTCGCGACTTCAATTTTAATGTCAAAATCTTACTAACTTTATTAGTGTATTTTCCCAGATTTCCAATTTCCACTTACCCCTCCATCAACCTTCATCAACTCCTCCACATTCTCATTATACTTCAACTCTTCCGACGACGACGATATCGACAAATCCCGAGATTCAGATTCCGACGACTCGGTTGCTCGAGCGATGGCGTGGAACGAAATCGAGAGTAGGAAAACAAAATGGATGAATTTCATCATGATACAAACTGCAAAACTGACTATAAGAGTGAGGATAACTGGATAATTTGTGGTCGGACGGAAAAAAAAAGAAAAGGGGTGGTGGTGGTAGTCGGACTAGTTTTTCATGGGATTTTTTTATAACATGCACTTTGGAATACGATCGGTTAGTAATCGCTTTGTTTTCATTTTTATCGGGTTTATGAATGGATTTATGAATGTACAGGTGTCATGTCTAGCATATGATCGGGTAGATTACATGTAGGCATGGTTTAACAAAAAAAAATAAACTTCCAATCTTAAAAACTGTGTGAAACAGAAAAAAAAAACTTTAGTCATTTAAAAATTCAGCGAACGAAAATTCTAAAAAATTCAAAACTTGAAAACCTTTTTTTATGTACCGTTTCACCGCTCTGAAAATAAATAAATCTAAATCTAAAACTGTGTGAAACAGATAAAAATTTGAGTCAATTTAATGAAAGTGGGCGGGGCCAACTTTTTCAGTTACTATTAGATTTTGAATAGTCGATGTGGCCAACGTGAAACTTTTTAATAAGATTCAGGATTTAGGCTCCGCCCACTTTTTGTTATCACCTTCCAAAGTGGCCTTTACCACCTGTAATTTTATACACCTAGTGTTTCGATTACATATGCTAAACAAGAATCGGTTAAATTTTCTGGACTCCGCCCATTTTTTAAGCTACGCCCCTTCAGCTGAAAATTGGAGTTTAGGAAATACCAATTTCTTTTAGTTTTGCATTTTTTTAAATAGTTTTCCCGAAAATTAACAAATTTCTTGAGTATTGCAGAAGAATTTTCTGCTTCAATAACTACAGAAAAAATAATTTTTGACAATATTTTTTCTGATGGTTGATTGACGGATCAACGACTAATTCTTTCAAAATATGAAACTGTTTCAAAAACTTCATTTCTCGACAATTAATACTAATAATCTCAATGGTAGGCTTCAAACTTTCGGACATAAAAAACTCGAAAACTGGAATTTCAAAGCAACAGAACCATAAAATTTAGCTAAATATACTGAATTCTAAAAATCTAGACAAAAAATGTACTCGATGGAAATTGTTGATCAGCTGATATTCATTTTTCTGTCTATTGTCGAATTAAAAAAAGTGGGACCTGGAAAATTTCGCGGGCGGCTTCCCGGTCAATTTTCGAGGCCATGCCCCAAAAACACTACGGTAGTAAACGAAGCTTATTTCTGTGAATTATGTGGGATTTTCTGGACAAAATTTACGTTTCTTGGTATGAAAATGATCGCTAGCATCTCTAGAATCTGTCTTTCATCGAAAAACCGGACTTAATTGCGAAAGTAGCTCGAACGAGGCGAAACTCTGAAATATTACGTTTTTGCCGCGCTTTTTCGTAATTACTTTTTCGTAAAAGAATTAAAATTCCACCTTTATCTCCAAAATTACAAAAATTTCGAAACCGAAAAAATTTTCTAACAAAAAAAAACTGAAAACCATTTTGTTACCGATTGACATGTCGGTAGAGGGGTATTTAAAATTGTCCCTCGACTAAAAAAACCTGATTATCCCCAATAATCCCATCGATTTTTTTATATGACATAAAATTTTGTGGTTTTCCAAAATTTTTTTAGTTTCTGGCCCGAAGCTCATTTTTTGGACAAAAATGAGGTCCATAAAATTTTTATTGCTATTATTTTTGATGGCTGAAATTCAGGGATCCATGGATGGTGAGGATTTTAGTATCAGTTGATCTTGATCTTTAGGTTCTTATCCTAAATTGACAAAAATAATTTTGACTGGAAATATGCCAAATTTGAAACAGTAAAATTCCCCGAATTTCAGATTTTCAACTCAAAAATTCTGATTCTGAGATTTTGAGATTCTGAGATTCTGAGATTCTGAGATTCTGAGATTCTGAGATTCTGGGATTCTGAAATACTGAGAAGAACAAAAAACTAAGTTTTTAAGGATCCTCGATTTGAAACAAAAACTGTAGCAGTAATATTTTCAGATGGCTCTGGAGACGCCTTCTACCCAGATGACATCGCTATTGAAGGCTCCGGGGCTCCACCCCATAACATCTCCACTATTGCTGAGGAACCAAGAGAAGGAGAAGCATCCGGGGGACCAATGATTCCACCCCACCCAAATAAGGGGTCAGGATTTGAGTATGGAGGGTCTGATGACCCTGGACCTGATTTTGAGGGCTCTGGAAAACCCGAAAATCCTCAAACCGCCGAACCCCTACCCCCAGTCATCGACGATCTGATTACTGGGATTCCAGAAGAATCCACGATGCCACCAAAGGATCCTGCCGAGTTTCAGACTCATGAGGCGGAGCAAGAACCAGAGGAGGGACCAACAGGACCAACTACCCCATTTGACATTGACAATCTGGAAACTGGAGTTCCCGAAGGTCCTACCAAAGAACCCTATATGCCAAAACCAGTGACCAAACCGAAACCAGGAAGTAATCAATCTGAAGAGGGTGTCACCGATGGCTACTATTCTTCCGGAGGTACAGATTTCACAGATTTCACAGATGGTGGGTCTAGTGAGATGCCAATGGAGAGTATTCCACCAGTTCATTGGACCAAATCAACGCCAAGAGATTTCACAATCAGTCAGAAGATTGATCAGAATAGTCCCGGGTACCAACAGTTGCTGCATATGTTGGAGGTGGGTTACTGTTTCAATATTCTGTCAAAAAAAAACGTTTTCGTTATCATTGATAATGTTTTGGCAACCGTTTGTTACAGGACCTCGGACATCGTCGAAAGCAGGAAGACATCGTGCAGGCTACAATGACGGATTTCTATGTTAGCCGAGCGACGAGTCTTATGGATACCATTGATAATGTGAGTGTCTAAATTTTTTTTACCTATTTTTGGTCAGTTTTTGTTTTATTTTTGAGCCGTTTTTGATCCGTTCTCGGTCCATTTTTTTTGCACTTATTTGGCACACCTTTTGCAACATGGGAAGCAAAAATCAGCAAGACATTCAACTACTCTCACAAGTCAGACTACTGTACCATTTGACCAGGCTACGGTACCAAAACAGTTGAGAAATACAATTGAAAAATATATTGTTTTGAATGGGAAAGAGTCAATTTCAGAGTTTTTGATACCTTTCAGACGAACAGAGATGAATCAAGTCAAAGTTAATGATAGAAGGTTCCCGATTAGTACTGTAAAAATAATTTTTCGGTTTCAACATGTTCCCTTTTTTTCTTAATTCTGCTGATCAGGACTTTCTTGTATTCTGTCTCTATTTCAGTCCTTCACAAACGTGGCGATTTCCAACATCACCATGGCACAGGAATACGTCAAAGGGCTGTTGGAAGACTCCTCAGTTTCAGTGAGTTTTTGGAATTCTCACTGTAGTATTACTGTTTCAGTTAGATTGTAAACTTGTAAATGCTCAGATTTTTTAATTTTTTAATAGGTTCTGCATGAATGTCTGATCACTTATTCCAATTATTGCAGGTCCGCAACGCCTACACCGAAATCGTGAAGCTAACCAAGGAGCCCAGTTTCTACTACATTCCAAAACGGCAGAGATACCTAATGGTCCATAAAATAGTGACAGATATGGACAAGTCTGCTCAGCAAGAGATGCTAGCTCTGAACAAGCAGGCAAAGACTTATTGTCGGAATGCAAACGTGGACACTCCACCATACTCATTGGGTAATATATTCGGAAATATGTTGGCTAATGGAGCTGTTCTAACGAAATAAATTGGTTTAAATTGTGGATTCTTTTCTAGTGTCGTCAAAGATAAATAGAGTACTGTAAAACATGCAATTTATCTCGGTACTCGGGAAAAATATAGAAAATTAGTTCACTTCATTGACCTCAATTATCTCGATTTCTGTAAAAGATATCAAAAAGTTGTCAACTGATAAAATGTTTATCATATTACCAGTTACATTTTATTAAAAAATTACTTTTTGATATCTTCTACAGGAATCGATATAAATTAGGTCAACGTGAGTGCCTGCAATAAAAAAATAACAATTTCTAAAAAAACCAAACAATCATGTAAAAAAGCTTTCTCAAGAAATATCAAAACTTTGAAACCGTTATTTTAAAAACAAAAAAAGTTTCTAACCTAAGTTTTTTCTTGTATACTATTTACACTTTGTCTTAACGTTCATGTTGATTTAATTTTTGAATGATCGGAATTGAAACAATTATGTAAACACATGGCAATGGGTCAAAATGTGGCCAAACTATTTTTTTAACCGTCTCACATTGTGGTGAAATTACGAAGAAGAATTTGGGGAGCAGTTCAATTGCATACGAGTCGTCAGTTAGGTATCTAAATTTGAGCCGATTAGGTTCAATATCTTTTTGGTAAAAGTGCGCAATGCGGGATGGCGGAGTGTCGTAGCCATGTGTCATCCTTAAATGTGGGAGGACATGAAAAAAATAATGTTCTCGAAATTTCGTTCAAAGATGCCCCTCGAGGAGTTGAACTTGTGAGGGCGATGATTGAGGGTGCGGCGCCGCTACCGACTGAGCTACGCGGGCAAAGAGAAAGCGCACGCCCGATTGCATACATAAAGGCGAGGACGACAGCAGTACGCAGAGTGACATTAATCGTTGTACACCGTGACGGTGGAATGCATACTCTAGCTACAAAAAAACTACGAAAAATCTCCTGTCCCCCCACCTTTAACTTGTAGTTTAAGCTCAATTATTTAAAGTGATATAGTGACAAAATGTTGGCGATATTATGATAAACATTTCATCAGTTGATAGTTTTCTGATATCGTATACAAGGACCAAGATATACTGAGTTAAAGTTGACAGTTTCTATTCGGTTTCAGGGGTCCTCTCAAAGGTTCTAAAAATGTTTTTTTTTTCCTGTTCCAACTTCCTCGTTAAAATTCCCAATACAATAAGTAAGTGATCGAACAAGAAATTCAATTAAAACTCAATTGCTTGTGCCTTCATATTTACAAAGTTTCGTGTTTTTTAATGGAAGCTTTTTGTCTTCAGTTGTGTTCAGTTTCCAGCCAAACAATAACACTAATTTTTTGACCAAACTACATATATTTAAATTTTTCTGCTTTAAGGAACCTATATTTTTTCCGGAAATTGAAAAGATAGCTTGGTTTTGTCAACCCTGAGTTACGCTCAATTATCTAAATTTCTGTAAGAAATATCAAGACCTGTCAATTGATAAAATGTTTGTCATAATATCACCAACATTTTATTAGTTCACAAATTTTTAATATCTTTTATAGGAACCGAGATAATTAACCTCAAAGTGCGAGACAAGATTTTGGAATCTTTAGAATTGTTTCTCACTGTTTTTCCTTTAAAAAACTACATTTATTCATTGAAAACACCCAATTAATGAAATCCCATGGAATCCTAGAATTATCCTTCACTCCTCTACATATCTGGCTTTGGAATCGTGGTTCCAAGTGGGACAACTCCATACTGTTCCATACAATTCTCATTGATAAGACTGTATTCACAGCATGTGACACATTTGTAGCTCGGGTCCACGTTGAACACACGGAAATTGTATTTGGCCATCTTTTGGAGCACTTCGAAGTGAGACAGTGGTGAGCCATGGATTTCGATGAAGATCTAAAGTTACAGTTTCAATGTCTGGGTACAGTAAAGGCCGGCTAGACTAATTCGATCTTCTAGTCGTACCATTATTTCTGGCTTAAAAATATGATTCTCATAGAACGGAATCCGAAAAAAATCTTCTTTTCCAAAACGTTGATATCCTAATAGTGGCTTACCTGACAAACCGAATGCTCCTTGATCAATGGCTCCAACCCAGCGTGCTCTCCTCCTTCGATATCGATTTTTAGAAAATCCACTTTCGATTTTCCCGATTTTTTGAGTATGTCTGGAAGGCCAAGAGTGTCAGGCATCTTTCCAACGAACAGTTGACCATTGATCGCAGCGTATTTGGATTTGGTCTCAGCGGATTGTTCGGTCTGCAAGATTTGAAGGTATTTGAGAAGAAAATGAAACTTGACACTAACCGAATCCGCTTCCAGAATGGTGCATTTTTCTCCAGTGACCTTTGACATGTGCTCGTCAAACACAATTTGATTGTTAAGTCCGAGAGACATGATTCTGAAAAAAAAATACTGTTTCGGTTTCTCGATTTTAGAATCAAAATTAATGCTTGAGCAATTTTCATATAGTTCTTAACATTTCAGAAATCTCAAAATCCGAAGAATTAAAAATTTTATCAAAACTCAAAATATCAAAAATGGCAAGACAAACAGATTAAGATCACTAAACGATTTCCAGAAATTTCCGTTTCAAATTGATCCCTTAAAACTCAAAGGTTCCAGAAATTTGGTGACGCGTAGATACCAAATCTTCCAATTTGAGCTCACTTATCTCGGTTCCTACATAAAACGTCAAAAATCTGACAAGTGATAAAATGTTTATCATATCATCAGTAGAATTTCATCAGTAGAGAAATTGTTGATATCTCTTCTAAGAAAAGATAATCAAGCGTAAAATGGAAGTTCAACTACAGTACCCTTTCCCACTTTAACTCACGTGCAATCCTGTTGATTCACTGCCTCCGGCTTACAAACGTATTTCCCACCCTCCAAATTCTCTCCAACTCTCATTTTATCAATACAAACAGCCTCTGGCAACACTTTTTGATAAAATTCCTGACTGATTTCTCGTCCGGCCGCCTCCAAAAGATCCCTCTGTGCTTGAGCCGAGTAGTACTTCAGTGGATTGATGTGGGATGGTTCTTCTTGGTTTTCTGGGTTTTCAGGCTCCCGTGGACCCTGCTCCATACGATAATTGGCTTGTTGCACTCGACCATTGCTGACTTCCTGGATCTCATGACGAGCTTGAAGGAGTTGGCGGTCTGAAAATTACTGTTTCACAAGCCGCATAATCGTTTCTTGCTTCTAATTGGTAGATAGAACTCAGTCAGTTTGTCTTACCTGTTCGATTAGCTGTCAAATAATTCGACACCGTTATCATCAGAATCAGAAGAAGTAGGAAGAGACTCAATGAGGATTGGCTGGGATTCATGATGAAGGGAGACAGATACTGATAATGAATTGATAGACTGGGGTGATAGACTTGTTGATGATAATGGGGCGTGGCCTACATATGTGTTTGATTAGCAATTCAAATTTGACAACACGAGTTGAGAGAGAGAGAGAGATAGAGAAGAAATAAAGATTACAGATTACAAGAGTCTAGGGGAATCCTAGGATCTCGAAACTATGTGCGGATTTCAGATTGAAAATTATTCTTTGAAGATTCATTTGTAGACTGGTTAGCAAAAACGTAAAAACGTTTGGTAATAAATCAGAATTTTGAAGCCGAGAAAAGATTGATCACCGTTTTTGAATGAAAATGTCATTATCACACCTAAAAATAATTTGCTGTTTTATATGGTTTTGAAGAATTTGAATTATTTGCACTTAATTTAATGATAGATCTTTCACATAGAAACCCGAAAAAAATAACAGGAATATTTTTGGGAGTATTTGAGTTTTTTTAATTAATTGTTTTCTTAAAAAAATAAATGAAGTATTTTCTGGTCAAAACCACCAGAAATTCCGGACGAAGTCAACATTTTTAAACAGTTGAAAAAAGAAAACGGGCTTGAATTACTGGAAAAAATGTAAGGAAACATGAAAAACAATTAGCTTTCTGTTAAACCCTCTGAGAAATCGAAGTTGCGTACAAATTTTGGGGCTTCGGGTCCGCTACCAACTGAGCTATGCGGTCGCCGTCAACCGGTGTATGGTAGGGCAAGCAAAAAGTGTTAGCACCGTTACGCAAAAATGCACACACTCACAATCAGAAAACCATTACTTTTCTCATATTTCACTGTTTCAGTATTGTGATTTTTAGATGTGGATTAGTTAGCAACTGATGACCAAAATTTGTGCATATTCGATTTTTAACAAAAAAAATCCAATTTCACTTGTAGGTAAGATTGAAATTCGCCCGAGATGGAAAGCTTACTTGTAGGAATTCAAAAAATGCGGTTTCAAAATTTTAGTAAATTTCCGGAGTATGAGATACTTCATTTAATGCTGATCCTCCTGTTGTAGCTGAATTTTGAATATCTTGACTCTCTTAAAAACTCACTATTTTTTCCATACTTCACGGTCTCCCACGAAACATTTCCGAACTGCAAATTAAGTTTTGATCTACAGACAAAAAGTTTGGCGCGATCACAATTGCAGGTCTAAAGCCACATTTTCAGGATTTTTTACCTGATTTTGTGGAGATTCAAGATAGTTCAAATGATTCTTAAAAAATTAGTTAGTGGCTATAGAATTCTGTATGGCCCTTTTCCGGAAGAAAATGTTCCAAAAATGGCCAACTTCCAGATTTTTTATAGAAAAAATGTATCTCCTCTTTCAGTTTCAGACATTTCTAAAAGATTCATAGCTCAAAAGAACCTCAATAATTTATTCTTCATTTTGTATAGA